TTTTTTTGTTTGTGGTGTACTGTACAGTAACTAACTAATTAGCAAAACAATAGTGAAATGAGTAAACTCTTCCGTATTGGTCAACGCGAGGGGAGGAAGTAAAAGGGGTGGGGTGCAGCTAGAACTTCCACTGACTCCGCGGTGTGCTCCCGCGCTGTATGTTAGCATTAGGGAGCGCGCGCCCGTACGCAACAGACGTATGTCAGTTATAGGTAAACATCGATCGAACATTGCGTGTACATATGTACTCTGCCCGGCATTATGACCGGCGCGGCCTAAACGTAATAATTATGCCGTTAAGGCCGCGCCGGGTCAAAATAGCCCGGCACTAAAAAAAAACCTGAAATAGAGCCAAATAGTGAAATATCGCGGAAAATCTTATATATACATACAAATGAGACCAGAACTAATCATATAAGCTAAAGTCATTTTCGGAACATTCCTGAAAATTCTGTTCGGCGATGAACGTGTAACAAGTTTAAACACGATTAACGAATACTTATAATTTTAATTATATAACCGTATTATTATCATTGAAAACCAAATAGAAAGACCCGACAACAAGCACATGGAAAAATTCGTGAAGTCCGCTGGTTCGTTCCGTGGCTTAATTAGCATAGCATTGCTAGAAAACATAGGTTCGAATCCAGCCGGATTGAAGGAATGTTTTCTAAGTGTTCGATCTTTGTATTAATAATTATAACAAACTAGTGGAGTAATTTCACAAAAATAATTGAATATCTATTCAATATAAATATTATTATTGACCTCCTAAAACCCAGCAAACTACAATGTGAAAAGCGCTAAACACATGTACGTTAAAATGTGCTAAATGTAATTGATATAAAGTTAATACGTGCTTCTGGTCATATAGAGGTAGATTATATAGCGCTAAATTTGAATGAGATATTTGCATTATAACGTTATAACATTGGGTAGGTACCTAATGGGCGTTTATTCATTATAGTAAAAATATTGTCTGGGTCTGCATTACGTCACATATTATTTATTTATTGGCAGACAGAATACAAATTTATATAATATATAGAGTGCAAAGCGTGTGTGTTGTGTTGCCAAGGAAACCGTGACCCACTCAGCTTGTTGTCGTCTCACGTCAAGTGCTACGACCATAGGTCCAACCGAGGGACCAACGGAACACACGTGACACGGAACATAGTAGCCGTCACAGATTGACACTAAAATCATTGAATGACACAAAGCACATACATTAATTTAAACACAAAACATGAACAGTCTATTCCTATATAATACAATTAATGAAGTTACCATTTACTATGTATGTACCATGTCATGCGCAACAGCGGCGATGGATATTTTTGAAGACTTAGCAGACTGATTTTCTTTTTCAACTGTAAAGAAAATTGTAATCAAAATTATAAAGAGTATCGAGTTCTTAGGTTTTCGCGATTGTTACACACCCGTGTTATGGACACGGTTGACCATGGGACCTGTAAAGGGCCCGAAACGTCGGCTTGTTTGAAAAAACAAATATACGCGATTTAAATCCCGAAAAATAGGTTCATTTCTTATAAAGAGTAATTGAATAATTAATTTTCATACGTTTTTGAATCTGTACAGCTGTCTGTGTAAGCATGTTGTGTATCTACCTTGAAACTTTGTAACTGTTGTGTATAAATGCTATGTGTATGCACCATGTTGCCTTTCCTATATAAAAAATAAATAACCAATTCTTTTTCAGACCAACCGCCTACGACCCTAGCGCAATTACCTTAACAATAACCCCATGGTTTCACGTTATGGGCCTGGTCGGAAACTTTTGCAGCTTCACCACAGGACGTACTATAGTATATCTGCCTAAATTCGACATGCAGACATACTTAATGTGCATCGAGAAATATAAGGTAATACACAGTGCAAAATAAAGATATGCTTACGAAAACAATTGGAAATTCTCATGGGGATTTCGCAACTTTTTTTGCCTTTATTTATTATTTTATTTACTTCTTACAAATATAACATCGGCAGTTTATACAAAATATATAAATTATAAACAATCAATATCATAAAGTTTATTCCCATCTGATCCCCAACAACTGATTCACCTCAAAATTTAAATCCCAACTGATCTACTCTATATTTTTGCAACTCATATTGGATCCCCTCATTGTATTTGTAAGGTAAATACAGTTAAGGGAAAAAGAATTTTTAAAATCTAATATTCATTTATAGAGCTATTGTGACTAAATATTAAAATTATCCCAAAATATATTTTTTGTTATTATTTTGTGTTTTCTTTTGTTACAAAAAATCAGTGTTAAGTAATAATTACAGTCTAAGTTTTTCTAAACAGTGACAAACCGTGATATTCCCAGTCTAAAGTTGGTCAGAGACGTATTTGTGCCATTTATCGACTGCCATTTTTTTTGTTAATCGTAGCTTTGTTAGTGGGTTTGTTAACTGTAAATTATATTCATTAATATACATAATTTGCAAATTTACGTCATCTTTCACAACTTTTAAAAGATTTTCTTGTTGACTGTGCCACAATACCTACCAATAAGCGAGAGAAAAGTGTGTATGTTTGTCGTGGTAATACATTCAAATAATACAGTCAATGTAATGAAATTAAATGCTGTATGTTCATCAAAAATAGACCTTCCGTTTGATCATACGAGTAACTGTAAGTAAGTAGCCATTTGGAAACAGTTTACGACTACGAATACATAAATACAGTGTTCTTTCGCATGTTCTAGGTACCCCAACTAGCAGTGGTACCACCAATACTAGTAGCTTTATGTAAATTGGACATCAAGTTCGATCTAAGCTCTGTAAAAACTATCTATTCTGGTGCTGCGCCCCTGCATAAGGATACTTTGGAAGTTTTGAAGACTAAGTAAGATATAATAATTTATTAACTAACATCCTGTTAGGCATATTTAATACATTAAACTCGGTTGGGTATTCGAATTTAACAAAATTGAGGGCTGCTAATCTAACTCATTTTAATGTATTGATTAATGGTACTACAATTATAGTTTAAATAGTTAACATTCAGTTCCTGTTAAATAATAACGATCTATATTTGATTTATCGAATGTTTTTTTGAAAAACGTGTCAAGTCAAGAGTATGTAAATCTTTTTATTCAAGAGCCATTCAATTTAAAACTTAGGTGTTCAGTTCGACTTGCTATTAGATTCTAAACAGTAGTAGTAACTTTACTTAAGACTTTGACGATTTGACATAAATTAATGTTTGAAGCCATGTTTTATTGGAAAAAGGTATTTCTTAATAAAAAAAATTTTTGCTTTAATGTCAAACAACATTATTGTACGGTTTACGTACAAGGTCTTTTTGTCTTGAGGCATATTTTTGATGCAGCCAATTTATTTTAGTTCAATATAATATTTAGTTCGCGTTATTACGCAGTCGCGATTGGTCACCGATGGTGTCAACTCACCCCTAAGTTTCAACTGACTTAACTAACTAAAACCGAGACTTCTAAGGCCATACATTTTGGCCATTCGAGCAACGGAATTTCATCTCTTTGGATTTCTTTGTGAAATCGTTATGTATTCGTTACGGTATTGGTATTATTTCCGAAATCCCCCCTGACTGGTTAGTTAAAACTTCTACAGTGCGGATTTCAGGGAAATAATTCCCAAACACCCCATGAATTGGGAGATTTCGAAATTAATCCATGTATTGTGTTCAGGTTCCCTGCCACTCAAATACTTCAAGGCTACGGGATGACAGAGGTGACTTTAGCCGTAACAAGAGACACGATGGAGACGGCCCACTTGGCCAAGCCTGGGGGGGTTGGTTTCATTTGCGCTGGGACCATCATAAAGGTATTATTTCATTCAAATATTATTAACTTGTACATATATTAGTTAATACTTCATACCTTTGGTGTAACAAAACTACATGTGATAATTTTATCACGTGATAATTTTATCACACGGTATTCATAAAAATAATACGAACTACATAAAACAAATTAAGCATGATCAAATTTTAAAACTTTCCTATTTGAGCATAAAAAGATATTTATAGCAGCAGCTCCTTGTGAAAGAATTCGTCCAGGAAAGTAATTTCACCATTACATAACAATACAGTCTAATAATAATAAACCATTTATTTCAGGCCATAGTCCATAAGATAATGGTGTTAGTTACAAAATAATTTAATTAATACAGTGAATAGCGACATCTCTCGCCAGGACTGGTAGCTGTAAAGGTACTAACTGGGTGATAAATCTGCAATAGATTTCTCATAGATGACGCTACGACTAAAAAGTCGTCGAAAAACCAAATACAAACACACGACGCAAGCACATAGAAAAATTCGTGAGGTCCGTTGGTTCGTTCCGTGGCTTAGTTGGTATAGCGTCTGACACGGTATGCAAGAAGACGTCGGTTTGAATCCGACCGGATCGAAGGAATTTTTTCTGAGTGTTCGATCTTTGTATTAATAATTATAACACACTAGTGGAGTAATTTCACAGAAAATAATTGAATATCAATTCAATAAAAATTTAAGAAAAATATTGAATTACAAAAAAATTTGGAAAATGCACAATTATTACTTAATTGACCAGTGTTTACAATAATATAATAATAACAATAATAATTTATTTAAGATCATAGATCCACTTTGTTAGTAACAATCAAAAACGTAGGACTATGTTAGTAAATTACACTTAATAAAATAATTAAAATAGAAATACTTAAAAATAAATAATAGAAATTAACAATAGGTATGCGAAACTACCCAAAACTTGAAAATTGTACTGTCAAAACGATGGGCAAACATCTTCAGTCATCTGTTCGCGCTTCGGCAAAAGCCAGATGCACTGCAGTGCCGTGGCAGTCCCAACAGCATCCTGAAGATGTTAATAAAGGTCTTGGGGTTGTTAAATTCTTTGATAGTTCTGGTGATAACTCCCTAACATTTTGCAAGTTTTTGATAGTAGAAAGTCATAATGGTCCCTAAAATGAGATGATAACTGAATCGCATATGGAAGGTAGCTGCTGTGCACTGTCGAGGAGTTCCTCTGTTCCTCTGTCTGCCATTTCCATCATTAAATTAACTCTAGGTCTTCGTTCGTGCGTTCTTTGGACTTACATCTTCATCTTACATCTTACATTATAACAAGTTTTATTGAAATCGGTAACTTATGATGTTTTTCTTCACCGAAAAGCTAAAATTCCGAAAAACTCAAGAGTCCGAAGTCAAACCATTGGGAATTTAACATATCGATGCCTTACTTTCTCAAACTCATATCTTATAAAGATCTATTTATTTTAATTTCTTATCAAGGGTGTTCATTTGGATGCATTACTTTAAGAATAGGTAAAAGCCAGTTTGTGAATAGGAAATTTAAATCAGCCCGTATTTCAAATTCAAATTCAAATTCAAATTCAAAATATTTAATTCAGATAGAAATCCATATTGGTTAGTAATACAAAAACAACTTACACACTAATGTTAGTACCTAATAATAATTACAGGGAAGAGTGTTTATTTGCAACATTCGTTTACAAATAAACACTCTTTTTTGGGTAAACATGAACATTTGTATATACAATCCATGATTTGCATTACAGTAACTTTGTGCTTTAAGATACGAGTTTGGGAAATTAAGGCGACGATGTTCGCCTTCAAAGCTGGGTGATATTATTATAAAGAATAACCAAATAGTGATTATTTATTATTCAAATGTTTCATTTGTTCTTGTCAACGGTTTATTCATAATTGTAATAAAATTTTAAAGTACAGAATATTATCAACGAACCGACACTTTAGATAAAAATGTCAAAATGCTTTACAATCTGTCGTAATATTCATATCAACTTATCAACATTCTTTTGTTTTGTTTATATGCATTGTAATTTATGAACATGTTGAAAGTATACACATTTTTTAAAGTTTATTGAATCGCAGAATGTTTTACTACCTTGACATTAATTTTTTAAATTAATCCACTACTTTGTTATTATAACAAATACCGAAACACTAAGAAACATTCATTTGGTCAAAAACGTAATAGTCAGCCAACCTGACGTCAGAATGGCTGGGCACTTTATTTCTTTAATATTTCCGTTTGCGCTAAGGTAGAAAATATGCCAATAAAGGTACTAAATACTAGAAAATAGGTAGTAAATAATGACCACAGTTTGATTTGTATATCTCGTTAGGTCCAGCCATCCTGACGGACACGTTTTAGTCGGGTATTAAACGTTTTGTCGTTTGTAATACTTTTCAGATTTGTGGGTAGATGTTAGTAGAATCGGGGACATATTACCCGCGGATTTCTCATTGCGAACTCGGTGCAGCGTGGGCAACGGAATTTAGTTTTCCCGCGTTTGAGATGAATGCCCTAGTAGATTGACATTACAGACTTAGGTTCGAGTAATGTCATATCGAAGGAATTTTTCTCTGTGTTCGATCTTTGTATTAATAATTATAACAAACTGGTGGATTAATTTCTGAAAGAATAAAATATTAGAGTAATAAAACATCGTGATATTCATTACAATCTATATTACATATTATAAATAATATATTATGAAATACTTGCAAGATAATTTAGAAAATAGTTGCACTGTAATTTTCCACACTAAACGCGAACGTTTCCATATTATATTTGTTTATTCATTTATTGAAAAAAATATTTCATACAATGTATGTCGTTCAGATAGCACTATGTAAGATTTTTATAAAAAAAACTACTTTAGAAATGTTGGTTATACACCAACAGGCTTAGCATGAGCCCGAAAACAAAAGTGAATTCTTCTTCGAACTGTCAAGTTTCTCTCGAAAACGACGTCACTACGAATTACCTCTACAGGCGCGAGCATAAACGATATGAGGTATAAGTTGTCGCGCATATAAATGTCAAATGAAGACAATTTCTCTCCAACCATAGCACGACAGCCAAATTTTATATACTTTTGACGGGTGTACTACGTGAGTGCGAATGACGATAGTGCGAAGACGGTTGCGCAAAAGCTGCGCGATAGTTTATTTGCGCGAATGGTCAGTTGTGCGAAAACTTGAATGCGGTCAGAAGCAGGCAGAAGACAGAAAGTACGCGTAGAGAAAATTTTGTCTACGGTAGAGAGTTTCTCTTCCTGAATAATCGGTATGGAAGATAAAGATATCTTTACGCGCTTAAGTTTTGTCTATTTCTCCTGATGCCAAGCCTGCTGGTACCGTCTCCATTACGCATCTACCTGTTAAAAAACCTGTTGTTTCGTAGGTGCATTCTAATGATATAGATATGATAAATTTTAGATAATTAAAAGATTATACATGCAAATAATATTGCGTGGATGAGAAGGTCCCGGATTTCATTAGCGGTACAACCAATTTTAGAAATGTACTTTTCTAACGAGGTTTTAGCTTAGGTGCTCTGGGTAGTGCGGCGGAGTGAAATCACAAATATAATTGAATATCAATTCAATAAAAATTTGAAATGTAGGTATATACTTTATCAAATAAAGAATATGTTCTATAGTATATTGCATTTTATAAAGTGCGCCCGCCACACCTCTCTGCAGCCCGCCGCCGCTAGATACAGCTTCGTTTCATGTGTTTGTTTAATAAAATGTTGCCTTATTTTGTTGAGGATAAAGTTTATGATGCATTGCTCGTTTTAATGCAGACCCGCGATATGAATCAACGCTTAACTGTTGTTTCAGATAGTCGACCCGGAAACAAGAAAGACTCTAGGTCCAAACCAGAGAGGTGAACTCTGCGTCCGTGGACCATCGGTTATGAAAGGATATATCGGCAAGGATACAAAAGACGACATTGACAGTGAGGGGTTCTTCAAAACTGGTGACATCGGATACTATGATGATGATAAATATTTCTTTATCGTTGATCGGTTAAAGGAGTTAATAAAATACAAGGCGTATCAGGTAATGACCCATTTTGTTGATCTAAAAATCGAAATACATATAACTGATAGCTGGTATGTGATAGACGCAAAACCAATTTGCTGCCGAGCAAAATACACAACTTTTCACCTTACTATAGCGAGGAAAATGGTAGATGAAAGAAAAACAGTTGAACTATAACAAATGGTTTATTGTTTAAGATATTTATTTCTCAAAAGAATACAAATTCACTTAGAGAGAAATACAAGGTATCATATAATTTCTATAAACAGTACGTGCTGATAAAGTATTCAAATGAAGGTATATAGATAAACAAAAGCAAGGCCCTAATCAAGTATTGTACATCAATTGCCATGGTGAAACTTTCTTGAAACTCATAGAAATAAAAATATCAAGACTGCGAGAAATTCCTCACGACGTGGAACTTTTTGAATAATTGAAGATATTGTATTTCTTTCATATCTTTTGGTATTTTGTTGTACATTTGAGCTCCTTCGTATATTATGTTTTTCTTTCTATAATTCGTCCGCGGTATTTGCAAATATATATCACGCCTTTTAGCACGCCTGGTTATACGCTTTTGAATATGTAGTTTTTTAGTAATATGTAATTTTTATTTGAAATTTTTCTAATCAATATGCATGTGTTATATTTGTACATTTGGGAAATAGTTATTAATTTTGTTTTCTGGTGTAAGGTTATGGTTGGGGTCAGACAATGGTAATGTTTTATAATTTTATTTTGTATTGTTTGTAGTGTTTATAAATGTATTTTGGAGGAAGATACCCATACTTCGATAAGGTGGTCAGGGTGGGTTTGACCAATGACTTATATACTATATAACGTACCCTTCTAGTTATGCCGCCACGGAAAACATCTAGTTATGCCATGGAGAGAACTCATGAGAGATAAAATTTATTTCCGAATTTTTTCGACTTAATGCTTCCATGTTAATCGGTTATCCAATACAAAACCTAAATATTTTTCGGAGTTCACTCTACTTATAGCTTCGTTGAAAAAAGTTGGAACATTTGAGATTTTTTGTTTTTGGCTGTGAATATTATAAAATGAGTCTTTGCTACATTTATGGTGAGTAAATTACATTGAAATCATGTGGAAAGTTTTTCGAAACATTTTGATTTTGACTCTTGCTGTTGATTTGATATTATCACCACAATACAATACATAGTACATAGTACAATAAGCAGGTGTCATCAGCATATAATGTTAAATCACCCTCCAAACCAATTTCGTGTACGTTATTAATGTATATAAGGAACAATAAAGGTCTCAAAATAGACCCTTGTCGAATCCCAAAAGTAATTGGTTCAGGAGTACTCTGTGTTTTGCCAATTTTGACAACCCGTTGTCGACAAGTAAGGTAGGACTTAATCATATTCAATGCACATGCTCAAACACCAATGGCATGCAACTTATGCAAAAGCAGTTTATGGCTAATTGTATCAAACGCTTTCTTTAGGTCTATAAAATCATTTAAAATGTTTTATGACTGTTTGTTCCCTTGAATAAAAAATAAATAGGTACTTAACATATTTATAAATATTCACTAGCCATACTAACCTAACAAATTTTCAGGTACCTCCAGCAGAAATAGAAGCATTGCTCCTCCAACATCCAGGTGTAAAAGACGCTGGCGTCGTAGGCGTAGAGAACAAAGAAGCCGGCGAGGTGCCCCTTGCGTTTGTCGTAAAACAATCTGACAGTGACGTAACTGAGGATGATGTTAAGAAATTCGTTGCTGAGAGGGTTAGTATGACAACTTAACAAGTGATTAATCAATGTGTGCAGTACAGAATAAGTATTACGTTTTAAGTTATTTGGCGTTAATATTAGAAAATGTAATTAAGTCTACATAGCCGTATTTGAAAAATTACAAGCGTACAAGAAGTTCGTATACGCATCGAACAGACACGAAGTGCCTTCATGAAAATGAAAAAGATTTTGTGTTGTACAAGGTTCCACTTATTCCCAATTATCACCACTGGCTTTGTTCCTACTGGCGACAAATGGAAAAAGAAATCCCATATATTACCAGGTGGTGACAAACGGGATTACAAAATGCCAGTTATTGCCTGTGGTGATTTCTACTGGCGACAAATGGGAAAAAAATCCCATATCTTACCTGGTGGTGACAAACGGGATAAAAAAATCTCACTTGTTACCATTGGTGATTTCCACTGGCGACAAATGGAAAAAAATATACGCGACAAGTGCTTACCGCTAAGTGTACACCCGACAGTGCAAGCGCTCAGACAAGTCTTTCATTTACATAAGTCGCGTATATTTTTACAAATGAATGTTACAATCCTTGTACAATCCCCAGCGTTTGGTTCCGCAAGACTGCACACGGCGGGTAACGTGATTTTCACCTCTTTGAACGTGTGATTAGGTTCCTTTTTCCTCGTAGTGAGTGCCTGATACCATTAGTCAGATTTAGTAGGCTGTTATAGCGTAGGTATATTCGATGTTGTATGAGAGTGATGTTTCTGTTACATAGTAACTATTAAGAAATCTGTGCCACTACTTATTAGCAGACTTTGGTGTGACCGTCAGGATGGCTGGTCGCCTGTCGCATCTGGCGCTGAGTGCCAACGCCTGCCCTTTGTATTATGGCAATGAAGCACTAAAAACTTTTGCTTTTTTCACTTCTTCGAAAAATTTTCAATCGATTATACACACATCAAAAGTGTCTAGGGATCAAGTGAATATTTTTGAAATAAAAATTATTTAAGCAATATTTACCAAATCCAGTCTTCCAGGACGACTTCTTACTTTAATGCTTATGTTTTATTTAACCGCTTACCCCTATATTTAATAAAAATAAACTAAAATTGATGTTTTTACAAATTGTAAGACAAAACTCAAATTAACGGCGTCAATTAAATGACAAAAAAATGGCGAAAATGATGATGCTCATTTTTATTGTAAAGATAAGAAAATTAATAATCTGTATTTCCACCATTAACACGAATCACACAATTACAGCGATTTGGCATGCTTAATGGAATGGCCGCCCATGTGTTTTGTAACAAGTCAAAATATTGTTGTAGAGTATGTACGGTATGCATACTCGGCACAGCTCTTCTTTGAAGCATATCCCATGCGTGCTCAATTGGATTGAGGTCTGGCGATTGAGCAGGCCACGACAGAACGTTGATACGAGCTTCGGCAAGAATGCGTGTTACGACTCTAGCCGTGTGTGGACGTGCGTTGTCATGCATTAGTTGAAATGAATCACCCAACTGGCCTCGCAAAGGGATGATAACATCTGAAACAATCCTCTCTGCGTAAACTTGAGCATTGAGGTTACCCCTGACCCAAATGAGATCGGTTCTTCCGCCGATCCAAATACCGGCCCATATCATTATTGTTCCCCCACCATATGGATGAACTTCCTGACAATATCTCAAACGTTCATGACGTCCAGATGTTCTCCAAACTGGAGTACGTCTTGTATCCGGTCTCATACCGAAGCAGGATTCATCCGAAAAGCACACATAGCGCCAGTCTTCTTCCTCCCAGTTTCTGTGTTCGCGAGCCCATCGTAAACGGGTCCTGCGATTGCAGGGTGCAATAGGTGGAACTCTGAGCGGCCTTCGGGATCGCAGACCCACTTCACGTAAACGA